GAGGATCTCCAATGGAGCAGTATAAAGCACCGGTCTCAAAGGGGGCACGGTATCGAACTCGATTCTATATCCGGTCTCAATGATGGACAGTACCCATTTATCAGATGTGATAGTTTCCCAAAAGGGGAGTCAGCTTTGCAGCCGGCCCCCAAAGGGAGGGGGGAGGGGGAGGGTGTAGGACAGAGAAGATTAGCTCGTGCAGCTCGTCAATGTGGTCTCTTATTGGCGGGTTGGCGGTGACGGTCTTGCTGAAATTGCATGGCCGGTTGTGCACAGTTACGTTGGAGCTGAGGGTATTGTTGGCATGGTTGGTAGCGGTGGTAGGGCTGGTATCTCAGGTAACGAGACTGAGGCCACTTACAATGGGTCAAGCTTGGAATCTCCATCTTCTGAGCAGTAGCTCGAGCATTATAGATGTGCTCGAGCTTATGGTCTGTACAGTCATGGAACAGACCTGAACCGTTGAAGGGCATCCCCTCAATTCGGTGCTTGGTCTCATAGGGAAAACTGCAAGAGCGCAACCAGGCATGTCGACAAAGGACGATAGAACTGACGAGTGCGCGGGAGTCACAGTCTACGTGGTGCCGAGCTGTGGTGAGTTGTTGTATAGAGGGCCACATAGCTTCTCGGATGAAGACGCAAGCCAAGTCACGCTGTTGTTCCGGGATCAATGAGGTGATGAAATCCAGCTGTTGCATCAGGAAGTACTGATATCTCGCCATCGTTGCCTTGTAGTTTGAGATCCAGAAACCCAGTCCCATGGCTGCATAGATGCGTCACGCCATCAGGTCTATCTTCCTGCCTTCTTTGTCTCTAGGGATCGAGTGCTCCCTGTTGTCTCGCCCCTGGGAAGACTCAACCACAATTGAGTTGGGTTTCAGGTGCCTCAAGAGGAACGGGATATCCTGTTCCCGGACCTTATACATGGACTCATACCTCCTAGATGTTGGGTGAGGTTGGCTGGGAGAAAGTTCAAGTATCTTCCATGGCTTCCCATAGGGTGGTAATTAGCGGAATGGTTATGGCGGAGGACTGCTCTTTACGAGCAATATCGCAAAAATTGTCTTTTTTGGTGTTAAGTTGATTTTCGATCTCAATCTCCAAGGCCCGGGTAAGGCAGCCCATAAGTTCACCAAAAGTGGCATAAGATTCTTCCGGTGACCCAGGGCCCTGGGTAGAAATAACTGCCGCAGGAGATGTGGAGCATTGATCCAAGTCTTCTGAGTCCAAATTGTAAGGGTACGGTGGACTAGAGGAAGACTGAGCCGGAGATGGAGGAGGGCGAGAAGCCGTTGGTGCTGAGGTAGGAGCTTCGGTCCTGGCTGGTTGGGATTGGTGCCTGCGTTCCCTCAGCATGTGATAGTAGCCGTACGGAGGCGGATATCCCCAGTAGTAGGGCCGAGAAGGTTCGGGACCTTCGTATGGCATCGGAACCCAGGTCTTGGGGGGTTGGCCCAATGAGCAATGGTAGCAATGGGGCTCAGCCAGTGTGGGCCTTAGGGGCACCTCCGGAGATGATGGCATTGGAGTTGGGGAACAGGCCAGCTGGTGACATGGCAGCGATCAAGGAGGAGAATCTCGGATTTCTCCATCAGATATTCAACCATGAACGATGGGTTCGCGAGGCTCCAATGCCGCAGGAACTGTGGGCTCGACCCTCTAGGGAGATCCAGGCGGCGCGGCGTAACTCGCATTAGCACCCATGATATCGGTGTCAAAGACATTGGGACCGACGGAGCCGTCTGGACCAATGGAATGGTCGAATCCGAGTCTTGGAGTGGCTCCAAAGCAGGCCTATGATGTTTACAGCCAGCTTTGCCCTATTTGTCCTTCTTGGGCTTTTTCAGGACCGACAGATCCCCTTGGCCAGTGTGTTTCCATTTCTCCTTTTGTTTGCATGAGAAGGAATGGGAGGAGTGAGAGGTCTCCTCGGAAGCAACTCCCTTGGATGGTGGACGAGGGGAGGTCATCATATAAGGACCAGCCGGCATAGCTTGAGCAGCAAGCTTGTCAGAAGCTAGCAAGGCCTGATCCCAAAGGAGCTTTCTCAGCCGGTTTTCCCGATTTCTTCGGGCTTGCTTAATGAAGACCTGGCAGTGTCGGCATTTATCAGTGCAGTGTCCTTTTCTCAGGCAGAGAAGGCAAAGTTCATGCAGATCCATAGGAGACATTCTGGCCCCTCATTTAGGGCACTTTCGAAAGGCCACGTGCTGAGCCATTGAGTAAGAATAGTGGAAGGGAAAGTATGAAGGTAAGGAGGGAAGAGGTTTTAACTTTTTTTTTTTTTTTTAGGGAGAGAAGAAGAAAGAAAGAGTTTTAACTGGAGAGATAAGGGTAAAACAACTTGGCTTATTCAACTGGGAAGAGATAAGAGAACAATGATCAATAGCAAGAGAGATAAGCCAACAGCTCAAGGCAGTGCGATTGGCGGTCGAAAGAAGACTGAGGAAAATGGCAGGCACTCCACCCTATATAGCACCAGGGCGGGGAGGGGTGCAGAGTTCCCGTCAAAATCTGTTGAAGCTTTGGTATTCTGCCCAGCAACAGGCACTGCGCAGGTGCAGTACCCATTATGTGTGATGCACAGAGACCACGAAGAAGAAGAAAGGCATTACTGAAGTGTCTAGTCATTCTATGCCACAAGCACACTTGCAATGTAATCCTATATGCATCTACAGTTTTACATATTTGAATGCAGTATAGGTTTTTTGTGTATTCATGTATAGTAATACACTATAAACCTAGTTCCTTCTATGGAGAAAATATAGCTTTTTCAATAACACTAAATTTTCCCTAAAGGAATCCTGATTTTTCCTTATGATATAATTCAGATCAGTGATATCTTGAGCTCCCAGTTTAATGTCATCCATCACATGACTAAGATAATGATTCCTCTTGGACATCAATAGTGTATCTCTGACAGTTTGTACAACACCCTGTCTGATTACTGTTTAGCAGATGGCTATATAACAAAGATCTCAAATGATTTAAAGACACTTTTATCACTGACATTCTTCCATTCTTCTTGCACATTTTAAGAGAAACATTTAAAAGTTATGAATCAGTTTTGAAACAAAACGCAAAGTCCCAGGTTAAAAAAATAACCACAATATCACACAAAGACAAGCAAAAGGATATTGGATGAGTTTATTAAGGGCTCCAAGAATTGTGATAATTAACAAAATGTTAGGAATGTTAAATATGGAAAATTTAATACCACCAGATGCAAAAATGCCATATTGCTGTTATATATAAGCATATTAATCAAATCAAACATAATTTAAGTCCCACCAATTTCAACTGGAGTGAGCTACACATACTGTATAGTGAACAGTAAAAGCTCAAAAAGACCTTCACATTTTTCTTCCACAACATTTGCTTCCCCCAAAATGCACCTTCCACATGCCCCTTACCCTAAAGTATTGAAAGCTTTTCCTGCATTAAGAGTCTGAGCATCTCACAGGCAGTATGCTGATGGCATAGCTCTATCTATTCTCATCTAATCCAGTTGTGGTGGTGATGGTTCTGAATCAGTGTCTGGGTGGGGTGATGGACTGAATGTGAGCCAATAAATTGAGACTTAATCCAGAAAAGATGGAGGTACTGTGTGTAGGTGGGTCATCTGTCTGGGTGAGAGATATATGCCTGTTCTGGATGGGGCTGCACTCCTCCTAAAGGACCAGGTACATAGTCTGGGCATGCTCTTGCACCCAGAGCTATCCTTGGACCCTCAGGTGGATGCTGTAACAAGGAACTCTTTCCACCAGCTTTGGCTGGTCCATCAACTACATCCTTACCTGGACAAGAAGAGCCTAACAATGGTAATCCACACTCTGATAACCCCCCACTTGGTTTCTTGCAACATGCTCTTCATGGGGCTATCCTTGAAAACAGTCTGGATACTTCAATTGGGACAGAATAGAACGGCTAGGCTGCTAACTAGGACTGGCACAGATCACGTAATGCCAATCCTTTATCGTTTTTCTTGATTACTTTTTAAATCAGGCCTGAAATTCAAGGTATCAACATCGACCTATAAAGCCCTAAACAGTTTGGGGCCTGAATATCTGAAGGAGTGTCTCCTTCTTTATACACCTGCCTGGACCTGCAGAGATCCTTCTCCAGGAGAGGCTAAAAGAGTGGCTAGTAGGGGAAGGGCTGTTTCAGTGGTAGTGCCCTGACCATGGCATCTGTTTGCATCTGGTTTCTACTCTTTATTCATTTCAGCACTGGGTCAAAACCTTTTATTTTCCCCAGTATGTATGTATGTATGTATGTATGTATTTATTTATTTATTTATTTAGAGAACTTCTATGCCACCCCATTCGCCGAAGCCTTGAGGCGGCTCACAATCTATCCATTTTAATGACTAGAATGATTTTACTATATATATTTTTATATAATGTATGTTGTGATTTTATTAAAGTGCTGTTGGGGATTTTGCTGTTTTGTTACTGATATCCTGTTTTTATGTAGACCATTTAGAGATGCTGATTGGATCTAAGGATATAAATGTTTTAAATAAATAAATAATCCTTCCTTGTTATTTGCATGGTGACCCCCCAAGAACTGTCATATATAGCTGCCCCACATTTGCAACCACTTTCCAAAACCAATATCCCATATTCAGCACACTTTCACACTTCTAGTTTACCCTGTCTTCCTCACACACACAAAATTACCAGTGCTTCTCAGCTGTGCCAACCATAGCTAATTTAAACCAGCATGATGCCGCATCAAAGTCACAGGGGCTGCTTCTGGAATGGAAGCAGATGCAAGGCACAGGACACTACAAACAGGTGCAGGAAACACCTATCTGGCCAATCATGGGGAGGTGGTTATACAAATCAAACACGTTTTGTATTAGTATCACATCACAGAATATTAAGTTAAGCAGCAACACTGCTGTTCCATTTACGTCACAGATGTAGCACTATTATATGCAGTCTCTAGCACAGCACCTAAAGACTAAATAAAACAGTCAATGAAAGTATTCATACCTTGGGATATCTCTTGCCCGTCTGCTTTGTTGGATCTTTGGCTGGATCATATGGGTTAACTCCAGAATATATTTTTTGTTCTCTGGCTTCTCTCAGAGCTTTCTGAGAAGGTCCCTCTATTCCATCCTCTCTTTCACATCTATGACCTGCTATAAAATAAAAGCAACTTATTTTTAATAGAATTTCAATATATCTAATATTGTTTAGAAGACATAACCACATCCCTGTGTGGTTCAATGAATTTGTTCATGATTAAACTGCAAGCAATTTCTTATTTAAAAAGAATAAGCAGCTCTGGAATTCCAATTGAATCAGATGACAGGAGTACCGCCATATTAAGTATCCATGGCAGCTGATCTTGATAGGAAGATCCCAACTGAATGCACTGAAGTAGACCTGGACAGCAACATTTGAATTCTTACCGCTCACTGGGCTGTGCCAAAGCATGGCTTTGATACATGGAATTTTATTTTATTGCCCCTTGTAGCTGCCCATGCCCCAACATCTGCACCAGAGCATTGGGGAATACTCTATTCTGCAAAATCAACTATTAGAAGAACCCATATTGTTGTTATTTGTTTAGATAATTTATATCTATGGTTGCAGCTAAATGCACTGTCGGTGAAGGAGGGCGCAAAATCAAGCTTCCTAGACTAAACTTGCACCATATTTTAGGTATTTTCCAAATAATTGAATGTTAAAGGCAAGAACACTACAGAAGTACAAAAGCAGTTCTGCCAAACAGAATGTAGGTGGATAGGACTCTTAGGTCAACATCAGAGTTCCTATTATTCCTTCTTTGTGTCAAATTCAACAGAACTGTTAAGCCTAAAATGTACAAACACTGGAGTAATGAATATGTAAGTATTTCTTTGACCATAATGGTGATGGAAATTGTTGCAAATCCAACTAGCTGAATAAATCTAATCGCATTATAAGTTGAAGATTATATGTTATTTACTTTTTTAATTTTTAATATAAATTCCAAGAACTATTTCATAGAATCTCTTCTGGATAAAGTTTCCAATTGCTTATATTAAATGGAAAATTTAAACTGAATGAAAAATCCAAGTTTGTAACCTATAAAATCAACCAGTTTGCAGCAGCTACACAGCAAAGCCTGTCAATTTTGTTAAATAAAATGCACAGGCTGTGTATGGATGCAATTGCTGAGAATTCTGCTTATCATTCGTATGTGATAACCTAGTTTATGCTTCTTGATTGTACCTACTCTATGTCTGGAACATCTTAACTAACCAGAAATTGAGGAGGAAGCAAAAGCTTCCTGTTGCATGTAAAACCAGGCTCCTAACTAGTTGGAGTATGAAGCAAGGGTTTGAATTTGGTTTTCCCTTCCTAGTTCCCTGGATCAACAAGCCAGGTTGTAGGTACTAGATATTTTATGCTCTCCCAGTGGTGGCTGGAGCCAAGTGTGTGATTGGTAACACATTGCTCATTAAAACAAGCAAGAATTTTCAGCAATTCTGGCTTATTGCTACATCTAACCAAGACCGGTGCACTGTTATGCTTACTGTTTAGAAATTTAGAGCATCCTGCTCGAGTACATTTCCCAGACTTCATTGACTTATGTATTATACATTTCATGGCCCACTGAATAAGCAAACTGAATTTATGAGTATTTTTATTCTTAAAATGAAAAACCAATGCAAAAAAAAAAAAGAAAAGAAAATGCACACCTAAATGAATTGAAACACACTCTTTGCAAGTGAAACCTTTCTGCTATAAAGCCTCTGTTAAAAGAGAAGCGAGACCCGTTGAAATGAAGTGCTACACCTACTGGCAAATTTCCATTCATAGGCATTGCCCTCATAGAACTTCCTGGAGAAATTTTATATGTTTGGAAGCTCTTTTCTCAGGCTGCAGCTGTCACAACTAACAGCTATGCTGTTCATGGCACTTAAGTTTTGTTCATGCTTGTGAAATTAAAAATACTTACAAAACGGTTACAGTACAATAAAAGTGTCATGCCCTACCAGGAGGAGGATTCCTCCAATGAAAAAGCCTATAGAGAGTGGGCCCAGGCACAGCAAACTCGGGAGCTGTGGCTGCAGATGACTGCCTGCACTAGAGCAGCCAGGCACCTCTTGAACAGTCCCCGGGGTTCCCCAAGAGCAGGAGCCAGAGGCAGAGGGAATTCACCCATTAGGAAGAAGGAGGAGTACACAGCTTTGGCAGAAATCCCAACAGCCTGAACAGGAAGTTTTCCCTGAAACAGCATCCTGACTTAATTAGTGAACTGTGCTGAGATGCAGCTGGCTATAAATTAGGTCAGTCAGAGCTGCTGTGCATGTGTGTGTGGTAAACAGTATTGTTACCTGTGTTCTCTAACTTTGTGAAAACTACTTGGTATTTACTGGCATGTTTACTGGACTTTTGTTGGACACCCCTGCCTGACTTTAAACTCTGGATGCACACAAACCAGATGCCCTTGACTCTTGGACTTAACTGATGGTTCTTAGAGAGGTAACACAGAGACTGGGTATTTGTTGGCACAGAGCAGTACAAAACAACCCTTTAAAGGACTCCTGTTTGAATGTATGGCTTAGTACTACACAGATATTATGCTTAAATGGAACATAATTCAAAGTTGGCTTGCCTGTGTGCCAGTGGGACCCACCATCAGTGCAAGAGGAAGCCCACTCATGCCCTAAAACAACTGTGCCTTAGAACAATCAGCCATGGAACTGATCAGAAAGGAGGCAACCATTGCCCAAGATGTAGTGGGAATTGTGACTGTTGTTAAACTATTTGGAAACTGTGACCATAGTGCTATCAAATATAATTTATATTTCAATGGAAAATTGCCCAGAAAGTCAAACATTTGACTTCAGAAGAAAAAAAGAACTCTAAAATGAGGGGTTTTGTAAAAAGGCAGCTGAAAGGGGGAAGCAAGAAGATGACCTCTCTCCAGAACGCTTGGGACCTACTTGAAACTATGATTTTAAAAAAGCTTGGGCAGAGTGTAAGTAAAAGTTAAGCAAAACCAGCACAAAGTCCAAGAGGTCACCGCATGATTAACAAGCTTTATCAAGCAAACTATTGGCTGAAAAAAGGTTTCCTTCAGAAAATGAAAGTCTTGCCCAAACGAGAGCAAAAAGTATCATGAACTTGTGCAAAGAAAATTCAAGCACAAAATAACATTCTAGAGGGATTGACAAACTGCAAACTAAAAAATCACCAGGTGCACATAATATCCATTCAAGAATTCTTAAAGAACTTAGTTGTGAAACTGCTGGTTTTCTCACATGTTTACTAAGATCATCAGGAGACTGGAGCTTGGCCAATGTAACACCTATTTTTCCAAGGATCCAAGCAGAAGCCAAATAATTACAAGTCTCTTAATTTGGGCATGCACATGGTAGGCATGTCATGAGCAGAGCTGGCTAGAGCCAGAGGTCAGACTAGGTGGCCCAGGAGGAAGCTCCTTTCCAGGTAAAACTGTCAAACAAATAAAAGAGCAAGGTTCTCTCATGGATCAGTAACTGATTAAAGATCAGAAAGCAGCTAGTGAGAATAAGCCATCAATTCTCACAATGTTGTTGTTAGTCACAAAGTCATGTCTGACCCATCGCAACCCCATGGTCAACATTCCTCCAGGCCTTCCTGTCTTCCACCATCCTGCAAAGTCCACTTAAGCTCACACCAACTACTTCAGTGACTCCATCTAGCCACCTCATTCTCTGCTGTCCCCTCCTCCTTTTGTCATCTATTGTTCCCAGCAGTAGGCTCTTCCCCATTTAGTCCTTCCTTCTCATCAGGTGGCCAAAGCATTTGAATTTCTTCTTCAACATCTGGCCTTCTAAAGAGCAGTTAGGGTTCATCTCCTCTAGGACTGACCAGTTTGATCACCTTGTAGTCCAAGGGACTCACAGAAGCCTCAGTTAAAAGCACTAGTATTAGCAATTAGCAAGTATTAGCAAGCAGCTTGCCCTCAATTAGCAATTAGCAATTGAGGGCAAGCTGCCTAAGGGACTGCATCTTCCTGTATATACCTGCACCACCCCTTATTGGAGGCCGTCACCAGATTCATGAGGTGAAGTAGATGCCTGCTGCACAGAGAATGTTTTCAGTGGTTGTGCCCTGATTATGGAATTATGGAGAGGTTAACCTATCTCCTGTGTTAGGCTCTTATCACCACCAGACCTTTCAAGTTATGTTTCATGTATTTTTTGAGTTAGGAACTAAGTGTTCTTCCTCAGCTGGGTTTTAGTGCTGCTTGCTATTTCAACTATTATGTACTGGTCCCGTGCCAATTTCTGTGTCCATTTTTTATATTTTGTGGATTATTTTAATTGATCTGATTATATTTTGTTGAATGTAAAACTCTGTAAACAACCCAGATAACTTGGTAGGATGGAGTACAAGTGCCATAAAACAAAGGAATATACAAATATTGGCAACTCTTATCAGGATATCTATAAATAAAACATAGATGTTTTAACATACAGTATAGTTAGAAATTTGAATATTCCAATGCTGGATAGCTGTTTTAATCTTAATTCACTTGAACCCCACATTTTGAGCCAAACTGCACTTCTAGCAGAATTTAGAAACAACACTATCTGAATGGAAGTGCACTAATCTGTTCTTTATGATCATCCTGACAGACCAAAATTACTGTGTGAGATTAAGGTTTTTTGGTAAAGGCATACCTCATTTGATTGAGGCTCATTTGATTGCCCTTCACAGTAATTGCACTTCCTGAATGCACAGAGCACACATGTCTATTGGCGCCATTTTAACAACGGGGGTCACTCATTCGTGTTTCTGCCTCACGTTTTGGTAATGTAATTCTCACAATTCTGTCCTGTATTTCAAACTGGTTCATTACTGGGTTGGATAGTTGTTGTGGCCATTTGTGATCTTTGATGTTACTGTGATTTCTAACTGTTTTGGCTGCTCCAAAATGGGCTATTCTTCGGGTTTCCCTCCCACCCCCATGGCCTCCCTATTCCCTGAGACACAATACATATACAAATTAAGTCAATTACTGTAATAGCCCTACAGTGGTCCCTAAGCTTCCAGTGAGAGGAAGCTAGGAATGCCTTGCTTCATGAGGAAGACATACTCAATACTGAGACAGGTTGAAATCTAGGCCACTTGCACCAGTCAGCCAATAGTACAACTA